GTTTAGGGCTGGGGTTAGGGATAGGGTACAGAGCGCTTCTGGCGGCGCGCTGTTGTCGGCGCGGTTTTGTCACCGCGGTTTAGTCAGGTGCGCTTTTGTTGTTCGCGCATTTGTGGTGGAACCCCTTTCTCCCTCCCCGCCCCAAGTAATAAATCCTCACGTGAACAAGAGTTCTGCCTTTAACACTGTTTTGCAGTTAAAACACTCTGCGGTGCTAAGGCCCCGTCAATCACCATGGGGTGTTCTCAGCAGTTCTCCCTTCCTGTCCCAAGTCCTAAGATAACATTGGGATCATCAGGCACCAACTTGGCCGCTGAGGATGCTTCCCTGCTGCCTTTCATAGAGGCTGGGAAGACCCCATGGTGGATGTGGCCTCGAGGCAGGCTCTCCTCACCTCCTGTCTGCCTGGTGATGCAGCTGTGAGCATCCAAGCTGGGCTGCCACCCAAGACCCACACTTCATCCTCTGGGATTACATCCCTCCTTCGCTCCTCTGGAGCAGACCCTCCTCAAGGCCCCTCTTGCCTCTTGGAAGCCCTCAGGACTGAGGCCCTGGTAGACAGCAGGTGCTTCAGCCCCCCAACGGCCAGCATAAACCATCTGCTTTGGCACCGGCAGTTGGCGTAATTACGCCCATCAGACACACACGGCAAGGAGACGAAAGAGACACTTCTGACCTTTGTGCTCACACAATAATTAAATTACTCAAGGCAAACAAAACCCCTCCCAGTTCGCTGGGGCAAAGGGGGCAGATCAATGAGGAGAATTGCTGAGAGAAAGAAAGAGAGCAGGACTCCTTGATCTGCACCGCTGGGAGTCGCATCATCCAGCGCCCCCCACAGGCTCCTTCCCCCTGCTGGGAAACTATTGGCACCCCTGCTAGTCCTTTCACTGCTTGGGGCACCCGGACTTTCTGCAGCTGCTCCGGGAATTGCTTTGGAAAGCCTACAGTGCCCCAACTGGGACAATTTCCTGACCCATCGGGAGAATTCTGCGGGTGGAAGTCTAAAGAGGAGCAAAAGGTCTTTCTTTGCGCCAGACCATCCTGTGGTGGGAGCAGGATTTTAGGGTCCCCGAATTCAGGCCACCATTTGGCTCGGGATCCCGTCGGTGACCCCGCAGGTAGAGGGAGCTCGATGGTGACCTCCCGCTCCGTCCAAGCCACGATTCCCCAGCGTCGGCTCCTTCCGTGGACGAGGCCGGACTTTCTCCGACGGCCCCGGGGTCCCCGAGGGGCTTCCTCTCCCTGGGCTTAGCGGCCCCGCCGGCGCGCTATTTCCCGCGCGTCCCCTCCCCACTCACCGGCCTGGCCGAACTCGCCGCGGGCGGAGACGGCGCCGTCCTTGTGCAGGCGCAGATCGGCGGTGTCCTGGAGGCATCCGGCCGGTCCCCAGCGCTGCCGCCGCCGCCCTTCCTCGGCGCCCGGCGGGTCGGGCTGGAGCAGCCCGCGGCAGCATTGGAAGCAGACGGCCCACGCCTGCTCCTCGTTGACGGGCTGCTCGTAGGCCTTCAGCACCTCCTCCAGGGACAGCTCCTCCGCCGCGGACCCCGCCGGGCCGCCCCTGCCAGCCGCGGACCCCGGCCCGGCCCCTGCGGCGGCGGCGGCTGCTGCTCCGGCGCGCGCCATGGCCCCGGCTCCATCAGCGGCTCCCGGCGCCCGGCTCCATGGCGGCGGCGGCCTCGCTGCTGCGGCTGCTCTGGCTGCTGCGGCTGGCGGCAGCGGCGGACGACCTAGGGAGGGGGAGGAGACGACAGGGGGAGGAGAGGAGGGCCGAGCCAGCCGCCTGCTGCACCGCCCGCCGGAGGCCCAACGCCGCAGAGCCGGCCTCGGAGAGCGCGCCGGCCGCTTCGGCCGTTTCCGGATGGCCTCGAACCCCGGGCGGATGGCGAAAGCAACTGGGCGGCACCTGCCGGGTAGAGCCTCCGTCCGGTGCTGCCCCCGCTAGCTGCTCACCAAGGGGCCTTCGGACGCCCGCCACCCCCAGCCGGACTTACTCTGGAGTAAGCATCGCAGGGGCGCCTGCTTCTGAATAAGGCTGGGCTTGGAGTGGGAGGCAACTGGAAAGCTGGCATAGTTAGGGCAAGTGGGAAGTGAAATCACCGACACTGCCACACCCCCAACCGCACAGCAATTCCTAGGGGGGAGGGGAGGAAAGCCTAACCTCCTGTCTTATGGGGAGGGGGGCATGACTGGCTGCAGCTGCCAGTTGAGGTCATCCCTTTGCTTTTACTGAACGGGAGACAACCGGCCACCTTCATTGTCCAGTTCCCCATGGAAGGTTCCCACTGGACACGAAACCAAAACTGAAGAAACTATCTGGACTTAGTAGAAAGAGCAGCTGCTTTAATCTCTGGTGCCACTTTTGCAGACTCTCGCCTTTTATTCAAAGGAAGACATTTCTGTGGTGCCTTTTGGTAAAACATGTTGGCCTGGAAAGGGGGAAAGCCCTCTGGATGTGTTCGGAAGCACCAGCCTTCCGCTTGTAAAACAGGTTCTGGGGCCAAAGCCCGGTGCCTTCCGGCTCAGACTAGGAGGGAGAGCTCTTCTTCCAGGGTGGGGCTCATCGGGTTAGATTTCAAGCTCCACCTGGGAGCCTGGAGGGCGGGTAGACACAACATTTGAAAGCCTGCAGGGAGGCCCAGGAGTTGACTGCCTCGGGCGCCTGTTTCCCCCAGCAGCCAAGACCTTCCCCCCCCTTCCTCCTCAAATAACGGGGGGCTTTTTTTCATACAGAATTCAGGGAGGAGGGAGGGAAAGAGCAGCTATCTTGGACCAATCCAACTTTTAGTCCCTTAAATTTAAAGCACATTCCAGGAAAAACTTACTCTAAACCCCATTTTCTACACCTGCAGGGAAATGGGCTAACCCTTCAGAAATTCAACTTCTTCTGCCTGTTGCTCCCAGTCATAATGAGGAGAGCCACAAATGAGTTGCTCCCCCATAGAAAAAGCCAACTATTTGTTCAGAGTCCTCCCCTCCCTTCTCAGAGAGTCCATTTCCACTCTCGCTTTTCCAGGATTTACATTTTGTTGCTAGGAAGGTGCAGCGGCTGTTCACCGCAACAGAAGTGTGCACACACAAACACAACGCAGCAGCCTCACACCAGTTATTTTTAAACTCAAGGCCAGAAGAGTTAACGTAGCCTTTCAAAGCTTGTCTACTACACACTTGTTCTACTTACGCCCTCAATGTATTTGAAAATTACACACCTCTTTTTCAATGCAAACTTTTAAAGAGACTGATTTTCAAGACCCCAGAACCAAACTCTGAATATCACATACCTAAACATGGTTCCATCAAAGGTTTTCCCACAAAGGCCGAGCCTAGGGCCCTCAGCGGCTCTCACTACGAGTTTTTCTAGAGGGGGGAGGAGGAGGAGGTTAATAAAAGTCCTCCTACTGATTAGTGGGAGAGGTAGAAAATGGGGCATAATCACAACCTGAAAGAAACAGGCAACTGAAGTAATCTGCATGGGAGGAAGGCAAGGAGGAACACTCAGCCTTCCTCCTGAATGATCCTGGGAGCCCCTCCACCAGTTGTTATAGGGGCAAAATCTCCCTCAAACCCCCCCCCCCCAGTTCTTTGCCTCTTTTCACTTGTAATGTTTTAATGCAGCTTTCCCCCCTGGGAAATTGTTGAACTACAACTGCATTGCTCCTACACAGGTAGGGCTTCTAGGATGGAGAAAGCTAGGCTAATTTACCTATTTCTTTAATTTATTAAATGTATTGGCTACCCATCTTCCAACAGGATAACTCTGGGTGGTTTACAATATTAAACCAGCTTCATACTACATACATATAATGTAATTAGATGTTTTGACATTACCATCCTATTTTGTATTTTACAGGAGGGGGGCGGTTGGTTGTGGTAAGCTGCTTGGAGTCTTAAGATTGGCCGAGAACTGCAATAATTGAGTGACCTGTTAGTGCCATATGCTTTCTAAACATGCACAAGAGGAAAACATCTTTTGAGGTCCGTGTTTACTCTGCCTTTAACCACAGCACTGCAGGGGGAAGTGATGCTTTGATATTACTATCAGCATCTGGAGAGACAGAATGCTTGGCTGTTTGACAATTAAAATGAGCAGCAAGTGCCACATGTAGGCCTGGGTCTCTAAGGTGGTATCGCAGAAAATCTGCTAAGGGATTATTTTTAGCCCAGCATCTGATGAGTTCTGCCGGCCTCACACAGAGCTAGATATATCTCTCTCTATCTCTCCTCTCCCTCTCTCTCACACAGAGCTGAGTACAGCTTTTTGTTTCATTGCTGTAGAGCATTTGGAGTCAGACCCCAGCTTCCATTCAACCTGAAGGCTTTTAGGACTCTGGTGGGAACCCCCCCCCCAATTTTCTGTCATTGTGGGATTGTGCAGCCGGAGAGGGTGTGTGCATGACCTCCTTATCTGAGTTAAGTGTAGCAATGACCGAGTTCACTGGGTAAGAATGAGTTCGAACAAGCCATTGTGTGCTTTCCCTTCTTGTAAGGTGCTCTGTGAAGGCAGCCAATTGCAGTTTACTAAATAAATTATGGTTAAAGAAATAATGGCTTGACACGTCTGAACAAATTCCCCAAATCTCTTCTCAGTAGATCAAGGCACCATCGCTAGTGTTCCTTTCTTCCTCTGGGGTGTCTCCTCCAGCGGGCAGCCATCCTGCTCCTACCCCAGAAGCTCCAGGCTTCTGCTGCAGATCAGGCTTGGAACAGGCCTGTAGGCCACATTCAGAGCAATGACCCCCGGCTATAGGAGGGAGGAGCCCCCAGGCACAGCAGAACTAACCTACCTAGTCGAGCTCACCTTCTCCTAGTAGGGCAGCCTTGGCTCCTGGCCGATTATTTGCCCAGCTGAGGCATTCTTTCCCTGCTCCATCATTATTTACAGGAGCCAAATATCCTTATCTCCTCCTCCTCCTCTTGATAGTATTGCTGTGGCAACCGAGGGAAAATAGGAAACCACTCCTTTGCAAGTATCCTATTGTACAAAAAGGCAGACGTTCCAACACACACACACACACACACACACACACAGTAGCCAGACTTCATTTTACGCTTCTTTGGCATTTTAAAAGGTGATATTAGCACTTTTAACAACTTCCCTTTTAAAATAGGAGGTGTTAAGTATATCTCCTTTTGGAGACTAAGAGTTTAGTAGCAGAAGGTAGCAAGGAATGTGCTGCTGAATAGTCACACTATCAATCACAGCCGCCGAAGTTAAAACAAGG